AGTAGCATCTCCTACCCAAAGTTGACTTTATGTCAACACACAAACTACAGTAGCATCTCCTACCCAAAGTTGACCTTATGTCAACACATAAACTACAGTAGCATCTCCTACCCAAAGTTGACCTTATATCAACACATAAACTACAGTAGCATCTCCTACCCAAAGTTGACCTTATGTCAACACATAAACTACAGTAGCATCTCCTACCCAACACCCAATATTATGTTGTGGCCTCTCACAAACCGGGTTCATTTCCGAATGTACCAGGGCATTCTGGTGACAGTGAGTTTTGCCACACACCAGGAAGCTGAGCTAAACGAAGCAGACGATGAAATCAAGTCATCAGCTAGGGTTAAACCAGACACTTGTCATTCACTGTAGAAGACAGAAGTATGATTTCCCTGGCACGAAAATAAAAACTAGGCTAAATATGTCGGATGGTAGATTTTGTCAGCGACGAGAGCAAAGGCCAACAAGACAAAACACACCATAAGAATATTGGTTAGTTTGTGGGAGCTCATAGTTTGATTGTGTTTATGAGGTCCATTTCTGTGTGGATTTTTGAGTGTTAATGTATGCATTCAGGTCATGACACAGGCTCGCTCTCACGCCAGACGGGTTGACTGGGGGCATAAAATCAGTCAGAGAAGATGGTGTCTTTCTGCGAGTCATTTAGATTTAGTTAGTCGCTCCCTGATTGATGGGTATGCAGATAAAAGAGGCTGGCAGACTGATAGTTGAGTTAGGATTTCATACGGTTGACTATGGTTCATTCCAGGATAAGCAAGAGAGACGAAACAATGAAAATCCCAGCCTGCTCTTTTTTTTTTTTTTTGGGGGGGGGGGGGGGGGTCATACTAAATTCTCATCTCCATATCACACCGTTTCCTCCCCCGGTTATACACCGCCATGAAAGTGGTAAATAAAGACTAATTTGTTTAATGAATGTCTCAGTCGGAGGAGTGCTGTACATTTGATGTACAAATGGTGAACAAATAACAACGCTGTGTCGACAGATACACGGCTGGCACACCCTGCTAGAGAACACACCAATAACCGGGCGGCAAAGTTAGGTTAAACACATGACGATGAACTACAACACGGAGGTACAAACGGGGTGGCAAAGTTAGGAGAAACACATGACGATGAACTATACAACATGGAGGTACAAACGGGGTGGCAAAGTTAGGAGAAACACATGACGATGAACTATACAACATGGAGGTACAAACGGGGTGGCAAAGTTAGGTTAAACACATGATGATGAACTATACAACATTGAGGTACAACCCGGGCGGCAAAGTTAGGAGAAACACATGACGATGAACTATACAACACGGAGGTACAAACCCAGCGAGCTAGAGAATGGAGAAACTGAGGTGGACTGGTGGTAGTTGAGGACATTGAACTGGGAGACAAAAATACTGAACATGAACAGCAAAAGAAGGCCATAAAACTGTTGACAACTACAAGAAAGAGACAATCAATATTCTTTGGTTGTGTTATCGCAGAACAAGAGGAAGACCACACAAGAGATGGAACGAAATCACCTGGAGCAACATAACAGAAATGAACACCAGCTTGTTAAATGCACTAGGGAAAAAACCAATAAACGATCCTTACCCCCCCCCCCCCCACTCCTCCAGTACCTTGCTGAGGTAGATGGTGGTAGAGAAGATGGTGGAAGAGAAAATAGTGGAAGAGAACATGATGGATGAGAAAATAGTGGAAGAGAAGATGGTGGAAGAGAAAATAGTGGAAGAGAACATGATGGATGAGAAAATAGTGGAAGAGAAGATGGTGGAAGAGAAGATGGTGGAAGAGAAAATAGTGGAAGAGAACATGATGGATGAGAAAATAGTGGAAGAGAAGATGGTGGAAGAGAAAATAGTGGAAGAGAACATGATGGAAGAGAAAATAGTGGAAGAGAAGATGGTGGAAGACAAAATAGTGGAAGAGAAGATGGTGGAAGAGAAAATAGTGGAAGAGAACATGACGGAAGAGAAAATAGTGGAAGAGAAGATGGTGGAAGAGAAAATAGTTTAAGAGAAGATGGTGGAAGAAAAGACTGTGGAAGAGAAGATAGTGAACGAGAAGATGGTGGAAGAGAAAATAGTGGAAGAGAAGATGGTGAAAGAGAAAATTGTGGAAGAGAAGACTGTGGAAGAGAAAATAGTGGAAGAAAAGATGGTGGAAGAGAAGACTGTGGAAGAGAAGATAGTGAAAGAGAAGATGGTGGAAGAGAAAATAGTGGAAGAGAAGATGGTGGAAGAGAAGACTGTGGAAGAGAAGACTGTGGAAGAGAAGATGGTGGAGAGGAAGCGGAAGAAGAAGAAGAACTGATATCAGAAGAGAAGCATTGGAAACCATCGTGATGACTGAAAAGATACAAGAGGCAGAGGCAGACCAAAAGAATAATTGATTGACGGGCTCAAACGATGGCATCTTTACAAGTAAATAATTGCATCAGAGAGAGAAAGAGAGATGATAGAATGTCACTATGGGATATCAGCAAGCAATCAGATACAAGAGACGTCCAACAAATGGCGGACTGCAGAGCTGAAGTTGTTTCTGCAATATCAGCACGTTTGCTAAGGCAATGGGAAACCGCTGGTTAAATGGACATCTGGGGAAATCGAGAAAACTGGGTTACGGTTGTGTTCCGGAGGCTCGCTGGCCTGCCCCTGCCGTGGTTCTGTGTTTAATTTTCAAGGCACTATTGTGCGTCATGACGTCAGTGTAGTGGACATTTCTTTGATCATGCCGTCAATGTAGCGGATATTTCTTTAACAATGGCACCAGTGACGTCATTTCATTGGTCCTGACGTCAGTGTTGGGAAGTTTCTTTGATTCTGACGTCAGTGTTGCGGAAGTTTCTTTGATTCTGACGTCAGTGTTGCGGACATTTCGTTGGTTCTGACGTCAGTGTTGCGGACATTTCTTTGATTCTGACGTAAGTAAAAGGGTTTGATTATAAGGTCAGTATCGGGGACAGTAACTATTGTCGGCATTACAGGTCACGTCGGGGATCACAGGTGGTGTCGGAGATCACAGGTCGTGTAAGGGATCAAAGGTCAGTGTCGGGGATCAAAGGTCAGTGTCGAGGCTCACAGGTGGTGTCGGGGATCACAGGTCAGTGTCAGGGATCACAGGTCAGTGTCAGGGATTACAGGTCAGTTTCGAGGCTCACAGGTGGTGTCGGGGATCACAGGTCAGTGTCAGGGATCACAGGTCAGTGTCAGGGATTACAGGTCAGTTTCGGGGCTCACAGGTGGTGTCGGGGTTCACAGGTAATTGCCAGGGATAACAAGTCGTGTCAGGGATTACAGGTCAGGGTTCAGGGATCACAGGTGGTGTTGAGGATCGCAGGTCGAGTAGGCGGCTTACCAACAGGCAAGTCCCGCGGCAGTGAAGACAGCGAGCACACCAATGTGTATGCTGTTGTGTTTGTATACCATATTATCTGTATTAGTCTGTAGGTAACTGATTGACTGTTTATGTCTTACTTGTTTATTTTATGTTTTATCTGTGAAAATCGCACTATATGTTTCCTTAAAAGTCGGACTGCATCTGTATGAGAGGCGGGGAACCAGTATTCTACATATAATGGGCCAGATCAGTAAAACAGATGTACACACAAAAACTCAAGTTCTGAAACGACACTAAAGTCCAGAAGTGGACGAACAACCAGAACTTCCTATTGGATATACAGCAGGTGGACGTAAAGAAGAAGATAGAACTTTAGAAGTAGAAACTGACTGAACTATCCTATCTTGTCGTGGCAGTTAACACTACGATCTAAACTGCTAGACCTGAAAGCACAACGATCTAAACTACTAGACTTGAAAGCACAACGATCTAAACTACTAGACTTGAAAGCACAACGATCTAAATTGCTGGACTTGAAAGCACAACGATCTAAACTACTAGACTTGAAAGCATAACGATCTAAACTACTAGACTTGAAAGCACAACGATCTAAACTACTAGACTTGAAAGCATAACGATCTAAACTACTAGACCTGAAAGCATAACGATCTAAAATACTAGACTTGAAAGCATAACGATCTAAACTACTAGACTTGAAAGCATAACGATCTAAACTACTAGACTTGAAAGCATAACGATCTAAACTACTAGACTTGAAAGCACAACGATCTAAACTACTAGACTTAAAAGCATAACGATCTAAACTACTAGACCTGAAAGCACAACGATCTAAACTGCTGGACTTGAAAGCATAACGATCTAAACTACTAGACTTGAAAGCATAACGATCTAAACTACTAGACCTGAAAGCACAACGATCTAAACTGCTAGACTTGAAAGCATAACGATCTAAACTACTAGACTTGAAAGCATAACGATCTAAACTACTAGACTTGAAAGCATAACGATCTAAACTACTAGACTTGAAAGCATAACGATCTAAACTACTAGACTTGATAGCATAACGATCTAAACTACTAGACTTGAAAGCACAACGATCTAAACTACTAGACTTGAAAGCACAACGATCTAAACTACTAGACTTGAAAGCACAACGATCTAAACTACTAGACTTGAAAGCATAACGATCTAAACTACTAGACTTGAAAGCATAACGATCTAAACTGCTAGACTTGAAAGCATAACGATCTAAACTACTAGACTTGAAAGCATAACGATCTAAACTACTAGACTTGAAAGCACAACGATCTAAACTACTAGACTTGAAAGCATACCGATCTAAACTACTAGACCTGAAAGCACAACGATCTAAACTACTAGACTTGAAAGCACAACGATCTAAATAAACTACTAGACTTGAAAGCATAACGATCTAAATAAACTACTAGACCTGAAAGCACAACGATCTAAACTACTAGACTTGAAAGCACAACGATCTAAATAAACTACTAGACTTGAAAGCACAACGATCTAACTAAACTACTAGACTTGAAAGCATAACGATCTAAATAAACTACTAGACTTGAAAGCACAACGATCTAAATAAACTACTAGACTTGAAAGCACAACGATCTAAATAAACTACTAGACTTGAAAGCATAACGATCTAAACTACTGGACTTGAAAGCATAACGATCTAAACTACTAGACTTGAAAGCATAACGATCTAAACTACTGGACTTGAAAGCATAACGATCTAAACTACTAGACTTGAAAGCATAACGATCTAAACTACTAGACTTGAAAGCATAACGATTTAAACTACTAGACTTGAAAGCATAACGATCTAAACTACTAGACTTGAAAGCATAACGATCTAAACTACTAGACTTGAAAGCATAACGATCTAAATTACTAGACTTGAAAGCACAACGATCTAAACTGCTAGCCTTGAAAGCACAACGATCTAAACTACTAGACTTGAAAGCATAACGATCTAAACTACTAGACTTGAAAGCACAACGATCTAAACTGCTGGACTTGAAAGCATAACGATCTAAACTACTAGACTTGAAAGCATAACGATCTAAACTACTAGACTTGAAAGCATAACGATCTAAATAAACTACTAGACTTGAAAGCACAACGATCTAAATAAAACTACTAGACTTGAAAGCACAACGATCTAAACTACTAGACTTGAAAGCATAACGATCTAAACTACTGGACTTGAAAGCATAACGATCTAAACTACTAGACTTGAAAGCATAACGATCTAAACTACTGGACTTGAAAGCATAACAATCTAAACTACTAGACTTGAAAGCATAACGATCTAAACTACTAGACTTGAAAGCATAACGATCTAAACTACTAGACTTGAAAGCATAACGATCTAAATAAACTACTAGACTTGAAAGCACAACGATCTAAATAAACTACTAGACTTGAAAGCATAACGATCTAAACTACTGGACTTAAAAGCATAACGATCTAAACTACTAGACTTGAAAGCATAACGATCTAAACTACTAGACTTGAAAGCATAACGATCTAAACTACTAGACTTGAAAGCATAACGATCTAAACTACTAGACTTGAAAGCATAACGATCTAAACTACTAGACTTGAAAGCACAACGATCTAAACTACTAGACTTGAAAGCACAACGATCTAAACTGCTGTACTTGAAAGCACAACGATCTAAACTACTAGACTTAAAAGCATAACGATCTAAACTACTAGACTTGAAAGCACAACGATCTAAACTACTAGACTTGAAAGCATAACGATCTAAACTACTAGACCTGAAAGCATAACGATCTAAACTACTAGACTTGAAAGCATAACGATCTAAACTACTAGACTTGAAAGCATAACGATCTAAACTACTAGACTTGAAAGCATAACGATCTAAACTACTAGACTTGAAAGCACAACGATCTAAACTACTAGACTTGAAAGCATAACGATCTAAACTACTAGACCTGAAAGCACAACGATCTAAACTGCTGGACTTGAAAGCATAACGATCTAAACTACTAGACTTGAAAGCATAACGATCTAAACTACTAGACCTGAAAGCACAACGATCTAAACTGCTAGACTTGAAAGCACAACGATCTAAACTACTAGACTTGAAAGCATAACGATCTAAACTACTAGACTTGAAAGCATAACGATCTAAACTACTAGACTTGAAAGCATAACGATCTAAACTACTAGACTTGATAGCATAACGATCTAAACTACTAGACTTGAAAGCACAACGATCTAAACTACTAGACTTGAAAGCACAACGATCTAAACTACTAGACTTGAAAGCACAACGATCTAAACTACTAGACTTGAAAGCATAACCATCTAAACTACTAGACTTGAAAGCATAACGATCTAAACTGCTAGACTTGAAAGCATAACGATCTAAACTACTAGACTTGAAAGCATAACGATCTAAACTACTAGACTTGAAAGCACAACGATCTAAACTACTAGACTTGAAAGCATAACGATCTAAACTACTAGACCTGAAAGCACAACGATCTAAACTACTAGACTTGAAAGCACAACGATCTAAATAAACTACTAGACTTGAAAGCATAACGATCTAAATAAACTACTAGACCTGAAAGCACAACGATCTAAACTACTAGACTTGAAAGCACAACGATCTAAATAAACTACTAGACTTGAAAGCACAAAGATCTAAATAAACTACTAGACTTGAAAGCATAACGATCTAAATAAACTACTAGACTTGAAAGCACAACGATCTAAATAAACTACTAGACTTGAAAGCACAACGATCTAAATAAACTACTAGACTTGAAAGCATAACGATCTAAACTACTGGACTTGAAAGCATAACGATCTAAACTACTAGACTTGAAAGCATAACGATCTAAACTACTAGACTTGAAAGCACAACGATCTAAACTGTTGGACTTGAAAGCATAACGATCTAAACTACTAGACTTGAAAGCATAACGATCTAAACTACTAGACTTGAAAGCATAACGATCTAAATAAACTACTAGACTTGAAAGCACAACGATCTAAATAAACTACTAGACTTGAAAGCATAACGATCTAAACTACTGGACTTGAAAGCATAACGATCTAAACTACTAGACTTGAAAGCATAACGATCTAAACTACTGGACTTGAAAGCATAACAATCTAAACTACTAGACTTGAAAGCATAACGATCTAAACTACTAGACTTGAAAGCATAACGATCTAAACTACTAGACTTGAAAGCATAACGATCTAAATAAACTACTAGACTTGAAAGCACAACGATCTAAATAAACTACTAGACTTGAAAGCATAACGATCTAAACTACTGGACTTGAAAGCATAACGATCTAAACTACTAGACTTGAAAGCATAACGATCTAAACTACTGGACTTGAAAGCATAACGATCTAAACTACTAGACTTGAAAGCATAACGATCTAAACTACTAGACTTGAAAGCGTAACGATCTAAACTACTAGACTTGAAAGCATAACGATCTAAACTACTAGACTTGAAAGCATAACGATCTAAACTACTAGACTTGAAAGCATAACGATCTAAACTACTAGACTTGAAAGCATAACGATCTAAACTACTAGACTTGAAAGCACAACGATCTAAACTACTAGACCTGAAAGCACAACGATCAAGGACCTGCCGACCTCACAATGTACAGTGCAGTGGCGGTACCATTTGACAAGACCGTAAGACACACTACATAAAAGACAGAAATATGACCTAGAAACAAATCAGCACGATTTGAGGCAAGCATTTGTTAGGAGCCGTTTACCAGAGATTAATGGTTTCTCTACAGCAGCGGACAAGCTTTCCTCCGATGTAACTAGTCGGTCCGACAGTTGCCTTCTGGGACACCTCATCTTTTATGACTGGCGGAGACAGAACTACCCGGGGTGTCCTAGTGTTTGCCATGTTAATGTGGAGGTATATTGCTCTCATGGGGGCCCTTTGGTGGTTTGTATTTCACTTGTCAAACTAATTCCCGTCTGGACTGTCAGTGTGGACGAGTAGACCGACCTGGTAAAACATCGTCCCGTAGAAGACATAACCCCAAAGGAAATATTCTTCAACTGTGAAGTTTGTCATCAGAACGAGGCAATAAATGCGGTCGGAATTAACAAATTCGGTTACAAAGGATTGTATGTCAGGACAGAGAGGCTGCTGTCGTCTGCTGAGTCGAGTCCGAGTCTGTCACTTTGTATACACAACTGCGCCGCTTCTGAAGGTCTAGCATTGATAAACAACTTCTATAGAGGCGAATGTTGACAAGGCTATCCTCTCTCTCTCTCTCTCTTTTCTCTCTCTCTCTCTCTCTCTCTCTCTCTCTCTCTCTCTCTCTCTCACTCACACACCACACACACACACACACACACAGACACACCCTCACAACTTGCATGTTTACCCCAGAGATATTCAATGTGGCTGTAGTTGTAGTTAGAGACTGAACACCCTCAGGTCAGATGTGAAGCAAATGATGTGTTTCCGGTGTAGCGCTTTGTCATATGGAGGCCAGAAAAACATTTAAGTCCTAGCAACCGATTCATTGCCGTTAATTTCAGGTGACAAAGTCTGGTGGTTAAATGCACACAACCCTTATTGCTTGCTTCCCCTCCTCTTATTGTTTACTCCCTCTTCCCTTCTTGCTTGCTTCCCATTCCCGTTTGTATGCTTTCCCTTCCCTATTGCTTGCTTCCCCTTCCCGTATTGCTTGCTTCCCCTTCACTTATTGCTCGCTTCAACTTCCCTTATTGCCTGTTTATCGGATATGTTAACTGTTTCCACCTGTTTTCCCTACATACATTTTTTAACTTTCGATATCTTTCTGTCAACGTTATTATGTGCCAACATGTGTTTTCTACTTCATGATGTTTCGTTTCTGTTCCCTGATCTAATCTGTCTGTTATTAGAATTTACAATGCACATTTTTCCTTCAATCGCCAGGTCTTTCCCAAACTTTTACCTGTCTCCACATTTCTCCAACGTGATCTCCTTCCTTGGACCTTTCACGACAAACGTAAACGGAAGTTTCATGACTTAGTTTGTGAAGTTGATTGTTGAAAGGTCCGGACACAAGTCTGTGACGCTGATTGTTGAAAGGTCCGGACACAAGTCTGTGACGCTGATTGTTGAAAGGTCCGGACCCAAGTCTGTGACGCTGATTGTTGAAAGGTCCGGACACAAGTCTGTGACGCTGATTGTTGAAAGGTCCGGACCCAAGTCTGTGACGCTGATTGTTGAAAGGTCCGGACACAAGTCTGTGAAGTTGATCGTTGAAAGGTCCGGATACAAGTCATGTCTGGTACGATCATTAAGACAGATTCCCGCATAGGATCCCAAGGAGGATCCGACAGAAGTGCCGACCATGTAAACGACAGGCCGAGAGAATAACAACGTCCTGGGAACCCACACAAACATGTAAACGACAGGCCGAGAGAATAACAACGTCCCGGGAACCCACACAAACATGTAAACGGCGGGCCGAGAGAATAACAACGTCCCGGGAACCCACACAAACATGTAAACGACGGGCCGAGAGAATAGCAACGTCCCGGGAACCCACACTAACATGTAAACGACAGGCCGAGAGAATAACAACGTCCGGGGAACCCACACAAACATGTAAACGACAGGCCGAGAGAATAACAACGTCCCGGGAACCCACACACACGAAATACACAAACGGGTACCTTCCTGCTGGTCGTTTCCCCCACTGGTCAGGTTCAGTATAATTATACAGTATGAGATAACAATATCACAAGATAACCAACCTCTGATACAAAGTAAACTCTACAGCTGAGTTTATCATTCTATTGCACATTCTGTCAAGACTCTCACTCTCTTTTCTCCGTGATGTCTTCACTCTAGGCATTACACTTTTGACATCGATGAACAGGCAGCTGCAGTTGTCAACTTCTTGCCTCCATTTGTGAACCACACAGCTCTTTGTCTGTGCCTCTTTGCCTGGACGTGTTTCAACAATTATACCTCACCCTCCGCTAGTGAACCAACAGCTCTTTGCCTGGGAGTGTTTCAACAATTATACCTCACCCTCCGCTAGTGAACCAACAGCTCTTTGCCTGGGAGTGTTTCAACAATTATACCTCCGCCCAACAGCTCTTGAACCAAACAAGCTCACCCTTAGTGCCTTTGGGCGTGTTTCAACAATTATACCTCACCCTCCGCTAGTGAACCAACAGCTCTTTGCCTGGGAGTGTTTCAACAATTATACCTCACCCTCCGCTAGTGAACCAACAGCTCTTTGCCTGGGAGTGTTTCAACAATTATACCTCACCCTCCGCTAGTGAACCAACAGCTCTTTGCCTGGGAGTGTTTCAACAATTATACTTCCGCTAGTGAACCAACAGCTCTTTGCCTGGGAGTGTTTCAACAATTATACCTCACCCTCCGCTAGTGAACCAACAGCTCTTTGCCTGGGAGTGTTTCAACAATTATACCTCACCCTCCGCTAGTGAACCAACAGCTCTTTGCCTGGGAGTGTTTCAACAATTATACCTCACCCTCCGCTAGTGAACCAACAGCTCTTTGCCTGGGAGTGTTTCAACAATTATACCTCACCCTCCGCTAGTGAACCAACAGCTCTTTGCCTGGGAGTGTTTCAACAATTATACCTCACCCTCCGCTAGTGAACCAACAGCTCTTTGCCTGGGAGTGTTTCAACAATTATACCTCACCCTCCGCTAGTGAACCAACAGCTCTTTGCCTGGGAGTGTTTCAACAATTATACCTCACCCTCCTATAGTGAACCAACAGCTCTTTGCATGCGCCTCTTAAGATCGCTCAGCCCGGCACATCGTGGGAAAGATCGCTCAGCCCGGCACATCTTTTGGACAAGTACCGTCTCCGAGGTTTCTGCATACCCGGTTCATGGATTGAGAAAAAGTGAACACTGCAGCATGTAAAGAGTGTTAAAGTGTTATGTGAAATCTATATTGGTGGTTCCAAAACTGAACATTGCAGCAAGAAAGGAATGTTAACTTTTACACAGAACATATATTGTTTGTATGTGAGACATGAACAAGAAACAAGCCAGCTGAAACACACCTAGGGCTAGCGCACATCTATGATTTCAGGAGAATAGCAAGAATATGAAACCGATAGACAAGCCGACTACTCGGGACAGGTAAAAATCTTCAACTAATTAAAGAAAAGTGACGTAGACAGTCTGTGATTTTTTTTCTCCTCTGGATATCATATGGAAAAAAACAACAACAACTAAGGGGGGACTGACACCTTAGATGAAAGAAAGCAGGAGGAAAACAAAGAAATACATGCTTCGATGGTTTTGTCATATCGGTTAAGTTGGACAAGAACACTGACCCGATCCGTGTTTATGGAGGTGATATGAATTTGCGAAATATGACTGCGTACGCGTATCTTCAGGGCTGCTGCTGCTGCTGATGATGATGATAATGATGATGATGATAATAATGACCAAAGTATTCGACATAAAGGTTTGACACGCTCAGTCTTCTAGGATATCGATATCTCAAATATCAAACGACTGATAGCTATTGTCGACTGTTGCCTAGTTGACATACCTCAAGGTCGTATTGCCTGGTTGACCCAGACAACCCCGCGATCTAATGTTGTTGAAGTTGTATTGCCTGGTTGACCAAGACAACACCGAGGTCTATTCTCGTTGCTGAAGTTATATTGTCTGGCTGACACTGACAACCCAGAGGCGTGATGTCATTTTTAAAGTTGTATTGTCTGGGTGACACTGACAACCCGGAGGCGTGATGTCATTTTTAAAGTTGTATTGTCTGGTTGACACTGACAACCCGGAGGCGTGATGTCATTTTTAAAGTTGTGTTGCCTGGGTGACACTGACAACCCGGAGGCGTGATGTCATTTTTAAAGTTGTATTGTCTGGGTGACACTGACAACCAGCAATCCGATGTTGCTGAAGTTGTATTGTCTGGTTGACACTGACAACCCGGAGACGTGATGCCATTTCTGAAGTTGTATTGTCTGAGTGACACTGACAACCAGCAGTCCGATGTTGCTGAAGTTGTATTGTCTGGGTGACACTGACATCCCAGAGGCGTGATGCAATTTCTTAAGTTGTATTGTCTGGGTGACACTGACAACCCGAAGTCCGATTTGGCTGAAGCTGTATTGTCTGGGTCACACTGACAACCCGGAGGCGTGATGCTATTTCTGAAGTTGTATTGTCTGGGTGACACTGACAACCCGGAGGCGTGATGTCATTTCTGAAGTTGTATTGTCTGGGTGACACTGACAACCCGAAGTGCGATGTTGCTGAAGTTGTATTGTCTGGGTGACACTGACAACCCGAAGTGCGATGTTGCTGAAGTTGTATTGTCTGGGTGATACTGACAACCCGGAGGCGCGATGTCGTTTCTGAAGTTGGATTGTCTGAGTGAAACTGACAACCCGAAGTCCGATGTTGCTGACGTTGTATTCTCTGGGTCACATTGACAACCCGTATGCGTGATGTCATTTCTAAAGTTGTATTGTCTGGGAGACACTGACAACCTGGAGGCGTGATGTCATTTCGGAAGTTGTATTGTCTGGGTGACACTGACAACCCGAAGTCCGATCTGGCTGAAGCTGTATTGTCTGGGTCACACTGACAACCCGAAGTCCGATCTGGCTGAAGCTGTATTGTCTGGGTCACACTGACAACCAGGAGGTATGATGTCAATTCTGAATTTGTATATTGACTAGTTGACCCCGACAACCCGGAGGCGACAGACAGAGAGAGAGCATTGATGAGAATTGCTGGTCAAAGTCTCCAACAATGAAGGACTTTTAACGAGACCTTATCTAACACAAAGACTGGTTGTAATTAAGTTGTCAGTGCCTTGCAGGATTGAACAGCAGCCCCATTTGTGTATCGGTTATTGAAATCACTGTTACGTTAGTCGGCAAACTTCCATGCAAATACAATTTATATTTACACATATTGGGCTGGAGTGCTGGTGTGTCTTTGTTGCCTGCCTATTGATTACACCGTGTGACTCCGTCCATTAATGTTTGACTCATTTAAGGAGTCTGAAGTTTTAAATCACTCACTGTGCTGATCGAGGCTCGGGTTTTGTCATCTGTCTGATACTCGCTTTAGTCACGGGAAATTATCAACATGATAATCGAGTACCAATTAATTATTAACCTTTAATGTGCGGTGCTGTTAGTAGGTTGTCGTAACTCGATACCGCCCATCGACTGTTTGCGATATTTTGGTTCGTTTTCCGCTCATCAATCTTGGATGGCGTTCATTCATTTGTGAATGTTGAGGTCGAGCTCGGATTGATGTAAACGTCCTGGGGTTGCCAAATCACATTTAGGATGCAGGCTTGTCCCACCTTCGCTGATTCGTGCACGTAGGGCATAGAGTTGACTGGACCGTGCCATAGGGCATAGAGAATACTGGACTCTGTTTAATTAGAGATGGACTTTTGTATTATTGGATCGATAGATAAATGGTTGGATAGATGAATGGATTGGTGTATTATTGAATGGATAGTTGAATGGATGGTGAGATGGCTGAATGGATTGTTAGATTAATGAATGGATAGATGCATGGTTAGATGGATGGATGGGTGGATTGTTGGATAAATGAATCTATGGATAAATGGATAGATGGATGGGTAGATGGTTGGTTGGTTAAATGTTTTGATGAATGGATAAATAAAAGAATGGATGGATGGTTGAATGTATGGATAGATTAGTGGAAGGATGGTTGGTTATATGGATGGATAGACGGATGCATGGTTAGATGGATGGATGGGTGGGTGGTTGAATGAATGAATGAATAAATGGATGGATGGTTTGTTGGCTGGTTGGATTGATGGATGGATGAACTGATAAATGGGAGGATGGTTGAATGGATGGCTGGATGGATGGATCGATGAAAAGATAGATAGACATATGGATAAATAGATGGATGGGTGGATAGACAGAAGGATAAATAGATGGATGGCTAGATAGATAGATAGATAGATAGACATATGGATTCATAAATGGAGGGTTGGATTACTGTATTGACGAATATATAGACTGAGGGATGCATAGCTGGATCGATGCATAGATGCATTGATGAATGATAGATAGACCGATGAATGGATGAATAGAGAATCGATGAATGGATAGATAGACAGATGGATGAATAGATGAATCGACGAATGGATAGTTTGATAGACATATGGATTAATAGATGGATGGTCGAATTACTGGACTGATGAATGGATAAATGGACAGAATGAATAAACAAACAAAAGACTCAACTTTCTTTTTAAAGAGTCACAAATTGTTCACGCGGGCAAATCTTACATTCGGCCCTTCGAAACACTCATCTCTCACACATCGATTGCAATTGATCAACCAAGCATGTTATGTTCACTTAACAATATGGATAATATGGATATTCAGGGAATAGCACAAAAGTATACAGACAGACAACCAGACAGAGAGCGTATGTGTTTGTGATATGACTAGTTGATTGTTCAGTATTAGGATTTCTGGCTCCAAGCTTGGCACAACCAAGACGCACAGCAAGCCATTGGTTCATGATCTTTACACCCACATTTCAAATCAGTGTATCAGTGATGCTGATAATAAAATAAAATAAGCATCTCATCGTCCTACCTCTGTAAGGGCATTATCACTGTCAGCGCGAATTATAAACCAATATGGCAGCTCAGCAACAACCACGAGATAGACGGTCAGCCATCTAGATAGAAGTTCAATTTTCTAGACAGTCAATTATGTAGACAGAGGGTCAATTGTCCACGTAGATAATCAAATGTCCAGACAAATAGTCAGTTGTCCAAAGAGATAGACAACCGTCTAGAGAGATGGTCAGCCACCAAGACATATTATCAACCGTCTAGAGAAATGATCAACCATTAAGACACATGGACAACCATCTAGAGCGATGATCAACCATCCAGATAGATGGTCAACTGTGTAGAGAGATGGTCAACCATCACGACAGATGGTCAACCGTGTAGAGCGATGATCAACCATCAAGACAGATGGTCAACGATCTAGAGAGATGATCAACCGTCAAGACAGATGGTCAGCCGTCTAGAGAAATGATCAACCGTCTAAATAGATGGTTAGTTGACTAGACATACGATGAGTTGTCTAGACAGACGGTAAACTATCTTGACATATTGTCATTTGTCTTGACAGATGGTCAGCTGTCTGTACAAATAGTCAGTTGTCTAGACAGATGATCAGGTATCTGGACAAATGGTCAGTTTTATGTACAGATGGTTAAATGTGTGGATAGTTGGTCAGTTGTCTGTATTGATGGTCAGTTGTCTGGATAGATGGTTAGTTGTCCAGACTGATGGTCAGTTGTCTAAACACATGGTCAGTTGCCTAGACAGATTGTAAATTGTCTAGGCAAAAGACGGTAGTCTAGACATATGGTTAATTTTCCCAACATGTTGTCTGTTTTCTAGACGTGTTTGTCTAGACAGATGGTCAGCAGTCTAGGCAGATGGTCAACAGTCAAGGCAGATGGTCAACAGTCTAGGCAGATGGTCAACAGTTTAGGCAGATGGTCAGTCGTCCAAAAGGATGATCTGTGAGGCAATATTGCCAGTGACATCGACAATATAGTGGTGGTCTGCACGGCTGTGTCAGTCTCTGTGTCATTATGTACTACAGCATCTACAGCTTTAAACACCCAACACACGTCATCCACACAACACAACCCACACCATCAATAAAACACAACCCATACCATCAATTCAACACAACCTATACCATCAATAAAACACAACCCATACCATCAATACAACACAACCGATACCATTAATACATCACAACCTAAACCATCAAATAAAACATATACTATCGACACTACACAACACCATAGACCATCAACACAACACAACATATACCATCAACACAACACAAATCATCAATAACAACACATCATATACCACCATTGCAACACAACCCATGCCATCAATACAACATATACAATCATAACAACAGAAAAAAAAATATACCATCATCACAACATAACTCATAATATCAACACAACATATACCATCATCACAACATAACCTATATAATCAACACAGCACACAATATACCATCGACACAACACAACGCATCAATACAACAAAACAAAAACAATCAACACACCATAAACCATCAAAACAATACGCCATATACCATCAACATAATACACCATATACTATCAACACAATACACCATATAACATCAACATAATACAACATATAACATCAACACAATACAACATATACCATCAACACAATACACCATATACCATCAACACAAAACACATACCATCAAGACAATACACCATATACCATCAATACAATACACCATATACCATCAACACAATACACCATATACCATCAATACAATACATATACCATCAACACAATACACCATATACCATCAATACAATACATATACCATCAACACAATACACCATATACCATCAATACAATACACCATATACCATCAATACAATACATATACCATCAATACAATACATATACCATCAATACAATACACCATATACCATCAATACAATACATATACCATCAACACAATACACCATATACCATCAATACAATACACCATATACCATCAACACAATACAGCATATACCATCAATACAATACACCATATACCATCAACACAATACACCATATACCATCAATACAATACACCATATACCATCAACACAATACACCATATACCATCAATACAATACACCATATACCATCAACACAATACAACATATACCATCAACACAATACAACATATACCATCAATACAATACACCATATACCATCAACACAATACATATACCATCAATACAATACAACATATACCATCAAAACAATACACCATATACCATCAACACAATACACCATATACCATCAACACAATACACCATATACCATCAACACAATACATATACCATCAATACAATACACCATATACCATCAACACAATACACCATATACCATCAATACAATACATATACCATCAATACAATACATATACCATCAATACAATACACCATATACCATCACTACAATACATATACCATCAACACAATACAACATATACCATCAATACAATACACCATATACCATCAATACAATACATATACCATCAACACAATACACCATATACCATCAATACAATACACCATATACCATCACTACAATACATATACCATCAATACAATACACCATATACCATCAATACAATACACCATATACCATCAATACAATACACCATATACCATCACTACAATACATATACCATCAACACAATACACCATATACCATCAATACAATACACCATATACCATCAACACAAGACGCAGCAGCAAAAGAATCAAAATCTAAATGTTTTTACCAGTTTTATTATTTAATTCCCGAAACAAAATTTCCTAAATCTGAGAGGAATTTGAAGATCATTGAGCGTGTCAGTAACATTTCAACTTGCAAGTGACGACCTGGCCTGCTGCAGTTCACTCCTTGGTAGATGTCAACACATAAAAGTCAAGGCTTGTCTCTCCGTTAAAGGTCAATGTACATATGTGACCTGCAACGACATGCTGTTTGTCCAACGAGAATTGCTGACTATTTTGTAAATACTTGTATGTCTAACAGATATGCTGAAGTCAATCACGGACACATCCGACTGGGAAACGTATCACTCCAACCAGATGTACAACTGTCTCATCCGAACCATGTGTGCTATTGTCTCCTGCTACTAGGGCCACGCCAAAAGGGTGATGTTACAATGCTGGTCAGCACACAGTGGTCTGCTGCCTGTACTTGCGCAGTCCTGAAGAGAATTCCTCTTTGGAGAGTTTCCCATCACCTGTAGACAGTCAGCAAAAATAAATTACTATTGAGACAAACGTAAATTCTTCTTCTAGTTGTCAAGGACATTTTATTATATGACAACAATTTACTCATGGATTTTTTACTAGAGAAGGAGAAGACCCAGCAGATGCATAGCAGCAGCAGCAGCAGCAGCAGCAGCAGCAGCAGCAGCAGCAGCAGAAGAAGAAGAAGAAGAAGAGGAAGAAGAAATTTTAAGTCAACTGTTAACTCCTCCCAAACCGTGGTGACTAAAGGGGTTAAATTTTAGGCTGATATTATAGCGACAATATTTAATCTAACAGTCACATTGGCGGCCAGATATTTGTGCATTTCTTTAATTTATTGCAACAAAAAGCAATCTTTAAATACCTCATCATTTCAAAGGGGTTCCTACCACTCCACCTTGGGCAGTAGCTCAGAAGCCACTTCCAAACCGGGTAAACATTTTTTTTTTAATAGACAAGTCTGAGAAGAGACAAACAGCGAATCACCAAATATGCTCATAAATGAGACACTAGCGCAGTAAGGAAACGAGGGCGACTATGAGAAACTTAACGACCACAGGTCTCTGTTGTGCTCGCTCCTTCTTTAGGCTTCCACTACATAAACGGCACTAGTGTGGACCAAGATGATGTGCAGAACCAGAATATATAATGTTCTTTTGCTGTTCTAGGTGAAGCTAATGTGTGACCTGGCAATCGCTTTGGGTACTCAATTTATAACTTACCCCTGACGTCACGACAACGTCACGGGAGACATTCCCAATAAATTCTAAGGTGTTCAGGTTGTAGTTTCTCGCGGTTTCTCTACAGCCAAGTTTTTAGAGTTAGGGTTAGGGTTAGGGTTAGAAGACACTAGATGAACACTCAAAAACAGCAGCACACAACAGCACACTTGCACCCCTTGAAATAATGGACTGTCAGGTCAGCTGTGGATTTCCCACGGGAATTTCGTGTTTGGGGTACGTTATAAATTAAGAACCTCGCTTTGTTTGGAAATTGATCAATGCTCAGTCTACGGAAAGTATTAACATCTATTTGTAGCTTTGTTCTACAGAAAGTATTAACTTCTATTTGTAGCTTTGTTCTACAGAAAGTATTGACATCTACTTGTAGCTCTGTTCTACGGAAAGTATTAACATATATTTGTAGCTCTGTTCTACAGAAAGTATTAACATCTATTTGTAGCTCTGTTCTACAGAAAGTATTAACATCTATTTGTAGCTCTGTTCTACAGAAAGTATTAACATCTATTTGTAGCTCTGTTCTACATAAAGTATTAACATCTATTTGTAGCTTTGTTCTACAGAAAGTATTAACATATATTTGTAGCTTTGTTCTACAGAAAGTATTAACATCTATTTGTAGCTCTGTTCTACAGAAAGTATTAACATCTATTTGTAGCTTTGTTCTACACAAAGTATTGACATCTATTTGTAGCTCTGTTCTATAGAAAGTATTAACATCTATTTGTAGCTCTGTTCTACAGAAAATATTGACATCTATTTGTAGCTCTGTTCTACAGAAAGTATTAACATCTATTTGTAGCTCTGTTCTACAGAAAGTATTAACATCTGTTTGTAGCTCTGTTCTACAGAAAGTATTAACATCTATTTGTAGCTCTGTTCTACAGAAAGTATTAACATCTATTTGTAGCTCTGTTCTACAGAAAGTATTAACATAACATCTATTTGTAGCTCTGTTCTACACGCACTTTCTAGAACAAGACCAAAAACAAGGGCTTATAAAAAACAAACAATTCATACTCTACAATGCCACATTGTTAAATATAGAATAATAATATTTTCTTTAATTATCTTATGCGAAGCTGGACAATTGAATCTAGTATATATATATATATATATATATATATATATATATATATATATATATATATATATATATATATATATATATATATATATATATATAGGAAAGTGGACATGCAATCAGAGATACATAGATACAAACAGACAGGTAGATAGATAGACATACAGGCAGATACCCAGACAGACAGACTGACTGACAGACAGGTAGATAACTAGCTAGACAGACAGACACTCACTGTCTACGTCGAATGCTGTAAACATGATATCTAAAGGTGAGTTTCCGCTGCTGCTGTCCTCTTGCTTGCTGTTGTCTCCTTTGCTTCTGCTGGACTCTTCTATATCGTCTTTGAATCCTGCGATTCTGGCCAGAAATTTGTTTCCCCTTTCGTTCAGGTAATCCTCACCACTAGCCGACTCCTCGCTGCCTCGACCCACTCTGGGATACGAACCGTGAGCACTTTGCGTAAACACCCCTCTCTTCTCAAACGTGGCCATGTCGGAGAAATCTACACCCGGAAGTAGAAGTTGGGAACCTGCAGCGTCCCGTCGTCCAATGCGCGGGTAGTGAATTCCGCTTCCGGTGGTGTAAAAGGTCCTCCTGCCAATCCTCGGGTAGTCGTTGTCTGTGCTTTTGGTGTAGAACACGGCGCATGCGCAACCAGAAACCGCCAACATGAGGAAGATATGCGTGAGTTGGTACATGGTGCTGTCAGATCCTGCAGAAAGACAGCAACAATATGTAAAGTGGACATGCTTCTTTTCAGCCAAATGTGCGCGCGCGCGTGTGTACATGCGTGTGAATGTAATTGTGGGTGTTAGTGAACTCGTATGATAGACAACATGACAGGTTGTAGGTGCATGTGTTATCAACAAAAATATATGTGCCGTTATAAAGAAATTCATGCTCTTTTGTGTGTGTGTGTGTGTGTGTGTGTGTGTGTGTGTGTGTGTGTGCCCGCGCGCATGCACTCGCGAGTGTGTCTTCGTGTTAGCCACAGCGCATATGTGGATGTCTCGTGCACAGATTGTGTCTGTGGTATTGTCAAGTAGTAATGTCGTGTGTGTGTATTTGTAGTGGATATATGTTTGTATGCGTGCGGGCACAAACACGCTAATAAACAAAGATTATTTTCGCAATATCCACAATCTCTTGACACACACACACACATACATACACACACACATACACACACATACAAATACACCCAGAGCTAGAGTCCCCAAACGCTACAGATGGCTGTGATGATGACAAGTCTGTTCCGCGAGAGAAGGTAAAGAGCCTACCAGACCACGTGACAACGATGATAAACTCTCACTTATCTGAACCAGGTGACAATATGAGAAACTCTCACTTATCTGAACCACGTCACAATGATGATAAACTTTCACTTATCTGAACCACGTGAGAACAATGAGAAACTCTCACTTATCTGAACCAAGTGAAAACATGATAAACTTTCACTTATCTGAACCAAGTGACAACATGAGAAACTTTCACTTATCTGAACCAAGTGACAACATGAGAAACTTTCGCTTATCTGAACCAAGTGACAACATGAGAAACTCTCACTTATCTGAACCAAGTGAAAACATGAAAAACTCTCACTTATCTGAACCAGGTGACATGAGAAACTCTCACTTATCTGAACCAGGTGACAACATGAGAAACTCACTTATCTGAACCAAGTGACAACATGAGAAACTCTCACTTATCTGAACCAGGTGACAATATGAGAAACTCACTTATCTGAAGCAAGTGACAACATGAGAAACTCTCACTTATCTGAACCAGGTAACAACATGAGAACCTTTCACTTATCTGAACCAAGTGACAACATGAGAAACTCTCACTTATCTGAACCAAGTGACAACACGAGAAACTCTCACTTATCTCAACCAAGTGACAACATGAGAAACTCACTTATCTGAACCAAGTAACAACATGAGAAACTCTCACTTATCTGAACCAAGTGACAATATGAGAAACTTTCACTTATCTGAACCAAGTGACAACATGAGAAACTTTCACTTATCTGAACCAAGTGACAACATGAGAAACTCTCACTTATCTGAACCAAGTGACAACATGAAAAACTCTCACTTATCTGAACCAGGTGACATGAGAAACTCTCACTTATCTGAACCAGTGACAACATGAGAAACTTACTTATCTGAACCAAGTGACAACATGAGAAACTCTCACTTATCTGAACCAGGTGACAACATGAGAAACTCACTTATCTGAACCAAGTGACAACATAAAAAAACTCTCACTTATCTGAACCAAGTGACAACCTGAGAAACTTTCACTTATTTAAACCAAGTGACAACCTGAGAAACTCTCACTTATCTGAACCAAGTGACAACATGAGAAACTTTCACTTATCTGAACCAACTGACAACATGAGAAACTTTCACTTATTTGAACCAAGTGACAATATGAGAAACTCTCACTTATCTGAACCAAATGACAACATGAGAAACTTTCACCTATCTGAGCCAAGTGACAACATGAGAAACTTTCACTTATCTGAACCAAGTGACAACATGAGAAACTTTCACCTATCTGAGCTAAGTGACAACATGAGAAACTTTCACTTATCTGAACCAAGTGACAACATGAGAAACTCTCACTTATCTGAACCAAGTGACAACATGAAAAACTCTCACTTATCTGAACCAAGTGACAACATGAGAAACTTTCACTTGTCTGAGCCAAGTGACAACATGAGAAACTTTCACTTATCAGAACCAAGTGACAACATGAGAAACTCTCACTTATCTGAACCAAGTGACAACATGAGAAACTCTCACTTATCTGAACCAAGTGACAACATGAGGAACTTTCACTTATCTGAACCAAGTGACAACATGAGTTTTTCATGTTGTCACTTGGTTCAGATAAGTGAGTTTCTGCAGGAAGTAACCAGACAAGTTTGTTTTCATGGAAATGATAATTGTTGACTATCTCTCAGACATGCCTGTCCTCGATGGTGCGCTGGCCATCGATTGATCAGTCTGTGTTCAATATCTGCAATTATCAGTGAGAAAACATGGCCGCACACACAGGTCTCTAGGGGCTGCCAGGAACATGATTAAAACACATCATCCTGTGCCCGTTAGCTACCTCTCTCCAACATGGACACTCTCATTGTCAGCTTTTATTTGCACACACTAACGACTGCTGGTCCAATCTAACGATCACCTGCTCAATCAACGGAGTCATCAACCAGTAATCAGCCGACTAGACAGCAAGCTAACGAACCAGAAGACACATCAACTGACCAACCAACCCAGCGATCAACCAGTGATCAACCCAGCGATCAACCAGTGATCAACCTAGCGGTATTAAATGAAAATATTGCAGGCATTCAACCAGGGGTCAACCAGCAAAGTCATTCTGGGAATAATATCCTGACATGAACGAACAGAGGCCTGAAAGTGTATCCTTCCACGATGCTAGAGGGAGAGAGAGAGAGAGAGAGAGAGAGAGAGAGAGAGAGAGAGAGAGAGAGAGAGAGAGAGAGAGATATGTGTAGATCACTTATTGCCAGCTTTAATTGTGAAGACGGCGCCTGATTGATCGATCCATCGATCGATCGGCTGATACATGGATGAGCAGATGATTAGAAACACACCCGAAAATGATGTAGACGAGCTCGGTTCCTGGCTTGTTCTTCTTCTTGACGTCCTCTTTGACCGCTTCGGGTGTCGAGGGAGATACAAGTTCCTGCTTCATGCTTTTCTGGCTGTTTCGTTTGATCAGTGTGTTTAAATCTCATTGAACTTGTTGTAGCGGTATTACATCAACTGCGGGCTTGCTAGGCCTGTCGCAACGTCACCAGAGCCCCGTTGTCCAGGACGTTTTGGGGTGACCCAGGATGGCCTTCAAGGCTACAGTAGCGGTCCCGTAGCTCAAGGCCATGCCATACTTCGCCTACGCCAAGAAATCGCCTTCTTTGTCCTGTTACCTCCTTACACGGCCGGGACGCGGGGTAGGTCTTTAAGGGGGCCGTTCCGGGTAACTTCTATAATTGTACAGATCGGCACCCATTGTGATGAGAAAGTTGTAATGCGTGTCAGAAATCGTGCGCTCACACTTTAAGAAATTTCTCGAAAACTCCTAAATGGATCAACACGAATTTTTGCTCGAGGCCTTGGATTTCTCATTCGCTTGTGCTTTCATACTTTACAATTGCACAGGTGTTGCTGTTTTCTTAAAGCAGCGATTTTCTTTGATTGTTGTTTGACAAATAGTTACTGTCTCCCTAAAAGTTATAATATCCTTCATTCGAGACACGAGTGGCAATTGTTTGGAAATCAGTTATGTGCGACGATGCAATGTGATTATTTTGATAGTCTATACCGCATACAATGAGAGAACAGCCGAGAGCTAATGCTAGAGATGACCAGTCGAGAGGTAATGCTGGGTTTTGGGTTAGGCTAGCTGGAGAACTCCATTGTCCTGAGAACCCTGACTGGGTGTGACGAGCTGGTCTGGACAGCTGTTTCTGTCCTTTTAAAGATTGCTTTGTTTAGATAATATTATTACCAAAGTTCTAAACATTTTCCTATTGCTTTTAATTAGCATAATAACACTGGATTAATTAAGAAATTTCTTACCCCTTTCTTAATGCTTCATTGGAGCAAAATTATAATTAAAGAGTTGAAAGGTAATAAAGGCGAATTAGATGATTAGTCAAGGGGAACTGAAGAGTAACTTCCTCCTTTTTAAAGACTTCCTGTTCCTTTTTCAATTCAGAAATTGACCGGTTCAGACTAAAGTTCTTAGTCCGCCTGTGGTCTAATTTTCTGTTTGAATTCCCTGCCAGGGGTGAGTTAAAAGAATAAGTTTAATTTGATGTATTGCTGCTTATTCCTCTGAATTAATTCCACAGGTTAAATTCTGAAATTTAATGCCCACATGGCTCAAAAACTATGATAAATTTCTTTATCCTTACTAACCACGTTTATGATCTAGTATGTACATGTATGCAAACATATTATCTATTTGATGATTGAATTAATGTTTATTTGCTACTAGAAACGTGCATTGGTATTTTTAATAATTATACTTAAATTAATTAAGTGATAATTATGTCCTCATGTGAAATCTCAGCCAGTTCCTGTTTCCAGCTTCGACAATTAAAAATAGGAATGAAGTGTATATTCATTATACCTAATCCCTTCTAAGTTGTTTTTTACCTCCTGGTGATATTAGCTTGATAAATCACTGTATGGCTTTAATTTAGATTTAGTCCAGATAATTCTGAGAATGGTTTAAGAGCTTGGAAAGTGAATACCACAGTGAGGCTGAATTTAATATTCACACTGTCAGAGAAGAAGAAAGATGTATGGCCCATGCTTGTAATTATTATTGTTGTATATATATTTCCCCATTACTAGGAATATTTCAGTACTGCAGCAGGTGGCCTTACAAATGTAATAAGTATATTTCACCCCTCACCACTTCTAAACTCTGCTGAATAAGATTAGCACATGTGTGGATTTAGATTTAAACTGGAGTGAGTGTTGTATATTTTATGTTAATACTGTGACAGATGGAAAGCCCATTGTCAACTATGATTGTATTTTGACATTTATCCCAGCACCCAGTATATTGAAGGAGACATGTCAATCCCATTTATTTTCAAACAGTGCAAAGCACCTGTTATGAGTTCCTGGTCTTGGTAAACTCACTC